CGAGTAAAGGAACAGTGAGTTTGTTTTCTCACTATTTAATGGCTAGCTTAAAAACCGTCCACCAACACTGCTTACAATATGGGCTAAACATTGCCTTATTTCAAAGTAATTAATGTTGCTCCAGCAAATGTATGCATTTATGTATATCGCTGCATGTGCACATGCATATTCTTTTAAATGATTAGCATTATTACGTAATAGAATAAAATATTTTGTTTTTCATTAATTTTTTTGATCATTTTATGTACTTAGCTTTCCACTTGTATGTATGTATGCATATATGTATTTTTGTTAATTAATTACTTTAACACAATTTCTTTTCTTTATATTCAGAAAACGTCTTTAAGCTCCACTATCGAAAAATTTAATTCTCTACGATATAGTTACTGTTCTTTGCTACTCATTCCCAAGAAATTTTCTTCCTCCATTTTGGAGAGGAATTTAATAGCTCGATGCTGGGGCTCAGTTTGCCGCGCCATATCAATGAGACCGAGCAATGTTTTAATTCCAATGAATATCCTTTAAAACAAAAGTTNCAAGAAATTTTCTTCCTCCATTTTGGAGAGGAATTTAATAGCTCGATGCTGGGGCTCAGTTTGCCGCGCCATATCAATGAGACCGAGCAATGTTTTAATTCCAATGAATATCCTTTAAAACAAAAGTTTTTAATTATATTGTGGCCAGAAGTAAGCTATATAAACTATTGTTGCTCACCTCTTGCCCGCCATCTTTTTGCCAATAGCCTGTAATTCACCCTTGCTGAAAATCTCTGCATGCTCAAGCACGGCTACAACGTGTTCGGCACTTGATAGATTTGGTACGTGTAAGCTGGATGTGAAGGCGGTCAACATTTCCATTTCCTCGAGCACAGCCCTAAAGTGTTATTGATATGAAAAAAAGGTGTTACTATTAGAAAATCATACATATTTGTTGTACAACGAGCTCATTACCGTCTACTTGAAGTGACCAAAATGAGCAATTTGCGTCCCTTTGGTGGCTGTTTCTTGAGCAAAACCAACAGTGCTTGCAATGTCAGATTCGAATAACGTGGTCCAATTGAACCGTAATCCAACAAACGTTCTACATTGTCTACTACAATGCAACTCAACGTAGAGCGGTAAGCATCATCGAAAATCTACGATGCAAAAAAAGAGAGATAAGAAAAAACTTAAAATTGTTTTAATACATTTTACAGCACATTCCGAATTTACCTTTCGAATGTGCAAGCATTTAGCTGATTCGGTATAGCCGAC